AATTCTTTTTTTTTTTTTTTTAAGATTTTATTTATTTATGAGAGAGAGAGAGAGAGCGAGCACAGGCAGACAGAATGGCAGGCAGAGGCAGAGGGAGAAGCAGGCTCCCTGCAGAGCAAGGAGCCCGATGTGGGACTCGATCCCAGGACGCTGGGATCATGACCTGAGCCGAAGGCAGCTGCTTAACCAACTGAGCCACCCAGGCGTCCCGAAATATCAAATTCTTAACTGAGACCCAAATACAATGAAACTGTAAAAAGAAAAAAAAATGTTGGAAAGAGCTGACATAGAGGAAGGAAAATACTAGTTTAATATCATAAGAACTCTGGAGACCAGCAAACATACTGATACCTATTAGTACTTTGTCCCCAACAAAAGCTTTATATAACTGATGTTTAAAAGTACAATTCTGCATACTGAAGAGGTACAAAGTCCATGATGAGAAAACCTATAGTAACATGAAAGAGACTTAGTCTGGAAGGATGAGGAATCAAAATTTAATCCTCGTTTTAACATGTGCTTCCCTGAGCAATCCCTTTTCCCTGTAATTTGGTTCCCCCAACCCCATTACATAGATTTCTCATGACAAAGAATCAGTATGGTTTTAAAAGCAAAGTTCAGGGGTATCTGACCAGTTTAGCAAGAATCTGTGAAAGTGGCATCTTAGGTACAGATCAAAATGGATATAAGACGCAGATTGAAACAGACTTCACTGAGGAAGCAGAGACTGAAAAATGAGGTAAGAGAAAATGTGAGACTTTCACATATACCTCCTTCAACTCACCACTACACACAGATTCCTTAAGAGGGCTCCCCAAGTCTCATGTCCCTCAGCCCTATACCTCTAAGCAGGCTACCTTGTAAATAGATGTAGGGAGCATTTAAAATTTTTTTTCTAAAAACTTCCAAAGAAACCAACTCCCTGGAATTTATCTGTGTCTTTTAACTGGTTAAGAATACTGGCTAACTGCCTGATACAGAAAATATCTTACTAAAAACTACTCAGGGCTTGGGATGCCTGGGTGGCTCAATCAGTTAGCCATTTACCTTTGGCTCAGGTCATGATCCCAGGGTCCTGGAATCGAGTCCCACACTGGGCTCCTTGCTCAGCCAGGAGCCTGCTTCTCCCTCTACCTGCCACTCTCCCTGTTTGTGCTTTCTCTCTCTCTGACAAATAAATTAATAAAATCTTAAAAAAAAAAAAAAAAAAACCTACTTAGGAGGTGCCTGGCTGGCTCAGCTGGTGGAGACTGTGACTTTTAATCTCTGTGTCACAAGTTTTAGCCCCACACTGGGTGTAAAGATTACTTAAAAAAATAAAAATTTAAAAATTAAAAAAAAAATCTCAGATTTTAAGCTTGCTGCCTCAACTTGAACAATCCATACGATGAGGAGTTATTCCTATCTTTGCTATTTTGAAAGAAATCAATACCTGTTATTCTCTTTTACCTGATGAAAATCTGAATGTGCACATATATTAGAGCTGAAGGAAAAGATACAAGAAAACTTGTCTTTGGAAAGAGCCTGGAATTCAACCCAATCAAGGAGATTGGGAGCTAATACTAATATCCCAAACTGCAAAACAGAGCACTTTAGAGAGAAATCCTCTAGTCCAGTTCTAAAGGAGTAATAGTATTTTATTTATTTCAACAAGCAAAAGGGATCCTATGGGCAAGGAATTTATAACACCCTTTGGCCATCAAAATTCTCATATAACCAAGGAAGAGTCAGCATCCCAGATCCTGCACTAAGAATTCCTAAAGTCTTAGTGGGGAGGGAAAAAAAAAGAACAAAATAAGGAGTCTGGAAAAATATTCTATAATCCACGCTAACTCTATCAGGTATTCCAGAACTTTGACAGAATACATTTACCATGACAAAACTACACAAGGGGGATTAACAGAAGACTAAAGTAAAAGGAAACCCGTTTTTGGAAGAAATGTAACGTTATTACCAAAGGAGAGTCAAGCTGTGACAACCATGAGGAGAACCCTGTGATGACAAACACCTGCAGTCTATTCTTAGAATTTGGGGCTAGTTTGAAGGTTTGGAGAAAGTCAAACCAGGCTATCATCCGTAACGCTCAGAATGAGGGGGAACATAAAGGACCTCGCTCCAGTAAGCCTATGGTCCTACACATCCTAAGGACTACGTGTGCTCCCTCCAACTTTCCACCGATACTGCCCTCTCCCCGGAAGAGCTTCCTACTCTAAACCGAGGCTTTAGTTCCTACAGTTTCTATACTAGGCCACACACTTATTCCAGGGACTGGCAAAAGCTTCGGTCCACGAGGATCACCCGGAATTCCCCTTTCTACCCCCGCCCAGTCAGGTTGAACCCCAACTCCCGGCCCCTCTGGACACCGCAGCATCTCGGCTGCCCCTCCAGCTCCTACCAAAATCAGCGCCTCCATCTTGCCCCGCAGCTGGTGCCGACGTGGAGCTGCAAAAGCAACACCGCCGCTGATTGGCCCCGCGTCCTCATTAGACCCCGCCCAGAAGTAGGATTATTGGGCTATATCGTAATAGCTATCTCCCTATTGGCCAGTTAGTGTGCTAACTTGCCTGGCGGAAGCAAGGTGTCCAGCCAGAAAGCTCAGGCACTTGATTGTCAGTTTAAGCACTCAATAAAACGCCAAAACCTCACGGTTGAATGGGGCGGGAGGGTCAGTGGGGCGGGGTTGTTTCCATGGGGAACAGAGGAAGCGATTATTAATTTTCAATTGGCAGAAAGGAGAACACGTGAAATCGCTGGTCTGATTTAGCAACTTTAATCCGCACTCCCTTTAGGGGGCGCTGTGTCTCTTTAGCCCTCAGCACTGTGGCTCTTGTTGGAATCCTACCCTAATCCTCATTCCAAGAGCCCACCTTAGGCACTGGGTATCCAAGGTCGCTTTGGCAAACACTGTTAGCTCTTCCCTCCGACTCGCTGAGATTCCTTCACTATCCTCACAAAGTCTGCACAACCATAGCGTAAAGCCAAGAGTTGCGCAGCGTATTAACTAGATAAAACAAGGCCTCCAGGGGCGCGTGGGTGGCTCAGTGGGTTAAAGCCTCTGCCTTCAGCTCAGGTCATGATCCCAGCATCCTGGGATCAAGCCCTTCATAGGGCTTTCTGCTTGGCAGGGAGCCTGCTTCCTTCTCTCTCTGACTGCCTCTCTACTTGTGATCTCTGACTGTCAAATAAATAAATAAAATCTCAAAAACAAACAAACAAACAAGGCCTCCAGAGTTAATTGCTACAGTAACACCATCTCCCCAAGATGGACTCCCAGGCTTTGCTGGGCCCAGGGGAGGACAAGAAGCCAGTGAATTTCTAAAGCAGATTTTCTTTGACCAGACATGAAATGGGATGTTAGAGCTTTGGAGACTAGAGAGGAGAGAGTAGGAGGGACAAAGGGGTAGAGGGTCCAGGATAAGGAACAGTATATGGTACAGGGTCTGCGGTTTTCCAGTAGGGACAAGCTGTTGCAAAACGAGAAAAGAGAAGTTTACAGAATGCAGGGATTTCACAATATGGAAGGTTTCTGATGAAGTTTAGCTTTCCCCTACCCTAGGTTCGTCCTGACTCCTCTTAAGTCGAGGACACCTATTGCCTTATATTATCTTTAAAGAGAGGGTGTTTTGTTTTGTTTTGTTTTGTTTTGTTTTGTTTTCCCATTTCTGACAATTGCATCTTCAGGAGCTCTCCAACAAGAGCATCCAAACCTACCCAAGAATTTTTCTAATAATTTCAGAGTAGAGCCAGAGGGCCTAAAAGAAAAGTATAGAACAATACAAACCTAGAGTTAACATATGGTATGAAGGAAGGTATATGTTTTTCTGGTAAAGTCCCAGGTGACAAGCCTCATATCTGGAGGAAGTAAGGGCTTAGCCTTTATTTGTTCTGAATGGGGAGTTATTCAAACATTTAGCATTGTGCCTGGCATCACAAGGTTATCCTTGGCTTGACAGCTTAATAATAAAACTAACATTTAATGACTATCTACTATATGTCAGGCACATGCTAAATCTTTGAATAGATTATTTAACATTTTTATTTATTTTTAAAATACTAAAAAGAAGTTAAGAGTTTATTCTAATTTATTTTATTTAACGATCTAGGAAGTTTGCAGTCATCGAGTGTAACTGGGAATTCAGGAATCCCTGTGGAGCTGTTAGTGTACCAAACTTGGTAGGTAAAAATGCATGCATGCTTTTATAGAACATATGAATGGATTTCTCAGATTGACTTCATTCGTTTTTTTTGTCTTTCTTCCTTCCTCCCTCTCTCTCCCCCTTCCCTCCCTCCCTTCCTCCTGTCCTTCCTTCCTTCCTTCCTTTTTATTTTTTTATTATTTTTTTAAGATTTTATTTATTTATTTGACAGACAGAGATCACAAATAGGCAGAGAGGCAGGCGGAAGCAGGCTCTTCACCAAGCAGAAAGCCCGATGCGGGGCTCAATCCCAGGACCTCGGGATCACGACCTGAGCCGAAGGCAGAGGCTTTAACCCACTGAGCCACCCAGGCGCCCCACTTTCTTTCCTTTTGGAGACCAATGCAGGGCTTGAACTCACAACACTGAGATCAAGACTTGAGCTGAGATCAAGAGTCAGAGGCTTAACCGACTGAGCCAACCAGGTACCCCTCATTAGTTTTATTCTCTGCAAACTGACCTGGTCCACTCAACATAGCTTTTATTGTTCCTGATGTTAGTGCATGTTCCCTTTATACAATATATTCATGAACATCAAAAGATAGTCAATTTGGTATACATGGTATCAGGGCCTTCACAGCCACCGTAGGTTTTCTCTTCTCCATCCATTATGTTCTTATTAAATTCTACTTTGCTTCCATAGGAATTGTAGTAGTTTCTCGCCGACCCTGCAGCCACTGTGCTGGGTCCCCACGCACCACCACAGCCCCTACTTCAAAACCACCCCTTCACCCCCAGCTGCCTGCCACCCTGAGGCCCATTATTTAATATTTTTAGAAAATCTTTATGATGTAGGTGGTTATTACACACATTTTATAGATATGGAAAGTAGAGCTTAGAGCAACTACATGATTTACTTAAAACCTTACAAAGATTAATTGTCAGCCATACATTCAGGCATAGGAGGTCTGGTTCTAAACCATGTTTTACCCACAATCCACTCTTCTAACTTGTGGTACAGCCTCTTGTGTATTCCAGTCCTACCTGAAGTACCCTGTGTTCTATAAGGACCATGAGGAGTAAAAGTGTGTGAAGGGAGGGGGTCCTCTTTCTTTGATAGAGTGACAAATTTTAACAGTCAGACATTGTTCCAGAAGATGGCTCATTGTTAGCTCTCCAGCCTATTAGGTAACTGTGCTGTAGGGGGAAGACAACTGGCTGGATAGGAGACATTCTTTTTGTGACTTGGACTTAATAAGCAGGAACCTTCTGGAGCACCTGGCTGGCTCAGTCATAGAGCCTTCAGCTCTTGACCTTGGGGTTGTGAGTTTGAGCCCCATGTTCAGGATAGAGATTATTTAAAAATTAAAAAAACAAAACAAAACAAAAAACAAACAAAAACCCCAGACTAGAGCTATCTAAAGCCCTATCTAGAGTTAAAGTTTTATCTTCCATCGCCCCTTCACTTGGAAAACTTTTAAGAATCAATCAAATAGGGACGCCTAGGTGGTTCAGTCAGCTGAGGGTCTGACTCTTAATTTCAGCTCAGGTCATGATCTCAGAATGAGAGTCCCGAGACTGAGCCCTGTTTGGGCTTCTTGCTCAGTGGGGAGTCTGCTTGAGATTCTTTCCCTCTGCCCCTCGTCTTGAGCACAAGCATGCACGCACATGCTTTCTCTCTCTCTAATAAATAAATAAAATCTTAAAAGAAAAGAAAAAGACTCAGGGGCACCTGGGTGGCTCAGCTCATTAAGCATCTGCCTTCAGCTTGGGTCATGATCTCAGGGTCTTGAAATCGAGCCCCATATCAGGCTCCCTGTTCAGCGGGGCATCTGCTTCTCCCTCTTCCCCCTGCTCCTGCTCTCTCTCTCACTCTTTCTCTCAAATAAAATAACATCTTTAAAAAAATAAAATAAAATAGAAGAATCAATCAAATGGGAAATGCATATATGCCTGACCCCCTCATATATATGCATACAATATAAAACCATGTGTATACGGTTACAAACAATTAATAAAAAATGCATGGGAGGGGTGCCTGGCTGACTCAGTTGGTGGAGCCTATGACTCTTGATCTTGGGATTCTAAATTCGTGTCGAGTGTAGAGATTCCTTTTTTTTAAATTTGATTTATTTAAGGGCTCCTGGGTGGCTCAGTCATTAAGCGTCTGCCTTGGGCTCAGGTCGTGATCCCGGGGTCCTGGGATCTAGCCCTGCATTGGGCTCCCTGATTGGCAGGGGGCCTGGTTTTCCCTCTCCCACTCCCCGCTTGTGTTCCCTCTCTCACTGTGTCTCTCTCGGTCAAATAAATAAATCAAATCTTAAAAAAAAAAAAAGATTTGATTTATTTATTTGAGAGGGAGAGGGAACAAGCAAGGGAGAGGAGCAGAGGGAGAGGGAGAAGCAGACTCCACGCTGAGCAGAGAGCCCAATGTGGGACTCAGCCCCAGGATCCTGAGATCATGACCTAAGCCAAAGTCAGATGCTTAACTGGCTGAGTCACGCAGGTCCCCCATACTTCAAAATAAAATCTTAAAAGATATATATATGGAGGGAAAATGGAGTAAAAGCCCGGAAAGAAATATAACCAGTGTTTCGTTTTGCTTTGTTTTTTAAGTGCTATGACTTTTTTCAATGTTTCCATATTTTCTGGGTGTTCTAAAATGTGTGAATGCTATTTAAAAGGAGAAAAATGGGGCGCCTGGGTGGCTCAGTGGGTTAAGCCTCTGCCTACGGCTCAGGTCATGATCTCAGGGTCCTGGGATCAAGTCCTGTGTCGGGCTCTCTGCTCAGCAGGGAGCCTGCTTCCCCCTCTGTCTCTGCCTGCCTCTCTGTCTACTTGTAATCTCTGTCAAATAAATAAATAAAATCTTTTAAAAAATAATAAAAAAATAAAAGGAGAAAAAGAAGCATTTTTTATAGGACAAAATCAACTTCTTTCCATGAAGCCTTCTCTGATGTCCCCAGGTGAAGTCAAACGCCTCCCCTTCGTTGCCATAGTCGACTCTACTTTTAGCCGTGTTGTAACACATAGATCTAACTCACTAGACTTGCCATCTATGTCCTATTCATTTTATTTCCTCAGCACCTCACCCTCAAATGGTAACACTCAGTGTTTACTGAATGGAATGAACATTTGTGAAAATGCAAGATATAAAGTGCAATGAACGGTGGGTGTCAAAGAGAAGTTTAGGATTAAAAGACTAGTAAGGAGCATAGATATTGAAAGGGAGTGATCCCTCAGGATGGGGGCAGGGGTTGTCAAGGTCTAGGAAACACTGAGGTGTTGAGTTAGGCCTTGATTCATTCATGCATTGCTGAAATGCCAGGTAGAGTTTA